AGTTAACACTTTGTTCCTGACACTGTTCTCCTGTTGGGCTGTAAATTCCAAAATGTCAAAGTCTTTGTCTCTTTCACCTGTCTGTATACACCAAGCACCTAGATCAGGACTTGGGGGTATAGTAATCATTAGGGATATTACACGTTAGTGAATAAACAGATAAAAAAGAAAAAACAATGTTTAAAAGGGGGGTGGTTGTGAGCTCAGTTTTTCCTAATATTTTTGAGCACCACTTAGCTGCAAGGCATTGAACTTGGCCTTGAAGAGATTAAAAGACAAAGTACCTTCTGAACTAGGTGAGACTCACTCAAGACAGAACCCAGCTGGGCACAGTGGGGAGAGAGATTAGGAAGTCCCTCTCCCTGCCCTCCAAGTGGGCCTGGAGGTGGTCGGGTATCTGTAACAGAGTTGCTTATACAGGGTTAAGATCAGGGCTGGAAGTGAGGAGTCTGCCTGCAGGGGATCAGCATAGTTACCTTTCACCACCAGACTTCAAGCAAGGGTAGCAAACACTGATCAGGGAGGTTATGGGAGTCCGATACTGACTGAGACTTTTTCATACAATAAATTCTGCCCCCATGTCCAGGAATCTGTATATACACTTTTTTTAATATTCTGAACCTGGAAAAATGGGTTCTCCCAATCCAAGCGTAAGTACTAAGGCTACATGATCTTGACAATTTAAGATGTGATGATGCAGTAACACAATGAGGACAGAACTCAGATTAGTTCTATAAAAGAGTCCTGGGTAGCTTGTGTTCTATTATCCCCAAAGCATTTAAAAAATTTAGATGCAGTGATTGCTTTAAAAATGGCAGCAACTGTTGCTGTTGCAGCTGAGTCCAGGGCTGCAAATACCCACTCAGGGCTCATCAGTGAGGCGAGTACCCACAGGAAGTCACAGGAAAGGTGGAAGGGACTTCACACACAGCCTAGCAGCTGCTTTCTGCAGATTCTGAAGCTCCAGCATCATCACAAAACAGCTCCAGGCTCTTCCACCTCCAAAGATCCTTGTCATATCCACCCTTTTTAAAGCCTGGCCAGACTGAGTCCAGGATGATTCATTTTGGGGCAGAGTAACCACTAGCTTTAAGACTGGGGGTGGCGAAGACCTGGGATGGCTGAAATCGTTTGTGAGCAGCTGCAGTCTACCCTAGCACATGGGGATTTGTGCAATTTAAAGCTCTAGACAGCTGTTTTGTGGTGGCTGTGCCAACACGTGCTGCAGAAAAAGCACGACCCACATTGCTCCACTTGGCTGGGAAGCAGAGCTGGTGATAAGGTGATAGAAAGCGCACAGAAAGCATTGTTGGGGCAGGGGGGATGAAAAGGACCAGGAGCTAACTCTACTCCCTCTTAGGTCTTCATCACCTATTCCTGTCAGCAGGAAGGGTCTGCTCTTTTCAGATCAGGTATGTGAGGCTCTGGTGATGATGAGAAGGGGCACGATTCAGATGCTCTGTGTTACCTCTGAATCTAGATACCTCAAATGAAGCCCATCTTTCTCCTGCTCATCCCTGACATCTTGTATTCATTGTTGAATGCTGAACGTGTTACACAACATCTCAGTTGTTCAAACCATACGGGTGGTAGTACAAAGTTGAAAAACTGGTCTAACATCAGTGAGACAGATTACACAACAAGGTGAACAAAAACAAATGCATGAATATCCCCTTGAATTATGTAGCTAATAACTGGAAAACGTATTTGATGGAGAAACAACAGATTTCAAATTTGTCCCTCAACCTTCCTTCTTGGTTGTGCAGTAAACATAAATGTCTCTAGTAGTCATCTTTCTTTTATATTCATGTTGCATTTCAAATTGACAGACTGTACAGTGTTGAGTGGAGTTTTTTCAGCTTTCTTTTTTTCATTACCTTTACATGAAAGGTTTGTTGATTGAAAATTATATAATTTACCCTTAATATACAGGCTACTTTTCATCACAGTGAGTTGGATTATAATTCAGTTTTCAATAAAACATGATTATTGTCATTAACCAAGAATTACACATCCCACTTTTCTGTATTTTGGTAATATTGGGGGTGGGGTTAGATAGTTAAGGGCAGATCTAAGGTTTCATAGAAATTTTCAGCAGCAGTGAGAAAGGAGATAGGATGTGCTATCAGGTAGACCTAAATTCTAATCCTGACTCTAGTTAATCTGGATGTCATTTACACCTTTTTGTGCCTGGGTTTTCTTCTCTCTAAAATGGGACATATCCACTCTGTGAAGGGACTAAAGACCCGCACAGGGGAGAACATGATTTTCAGTGCAAAACCCTTAAGAGTAAACAGACTCGGCTTCAAATTCCAGCCCTATCATTTACCCTCAGCCCTTGGGTTACTTAAAAATGCCCCTCTTTGCTTTCCAGGTCATAACCTGTGTTCACCACATGTGCTGAGTATTAAGTGGACTGCTCTTTCTGAAATGTCACCAGAGATGGCTACTGCTTGCTTTATTTGCTTATCATGTACTTGGAGCCTAAACATCTGAGGGCACGAATGGCCCTAGAGCTCATATGCCATCACAGTGGCCACCACCTGAGAACACTAGAGGCAAGCCTCAGTCTTCCAAAGACTGGCTGCTTCGGAAGAATCCCTTTACAGAGGACTCCAGACTGTGAAAACTTAAGGAAGGTTGGGCAGAGCTGAACGGGCAGCTCTTCCTAAGTGCTGGGAGGGCAGGAAGGGGCAGAGAGGAGGGGAGGACAAGGATGGCAGAAACAGAGGCCAAAGTTGGGGCACCACCCTCACACCTTATTTGATGTATTTACCTCTACACCTTGCTCCAGAAAAGTTGTGCAGGGCTCAGCAGCAACCAGTCACTAAGAGCAGTCAATGCTAGGGTCTCCCTGGCCCTTGCTTTATTTTAAACCTGAAAGCTATAGGCGGCAATTCACTTCTGCAAGGCCGCCGCAAAAGGAAAGCTTTCAAGGTGGAAGCGTGTCCTTGAGCAACACATGCTTGAAGTTGATTCTGGCCCCGCGCCTTGGCTGCGGGCGAGGCAAGGACCCGGGCGCTAACGCGCTAAACTTTCGCGGCGGCCACCCTACGCCCCCTAAGAGCGCGTCCCACCGAGCGAAGAACCATAGCTCGCCACCGGGACCCCCGACCCTGTGGCCGGTCACAGGGGCACGGCACCCCCTGCCTCACTATCACAGAGCCCCGCCCTTGCATCGCGTCCCAGAATATAAGGGTGGTGCTACCAGTCAGTCCTGGTGAGTCATTGACTTCTAAGTATAATCTGGGCCTGGGGACCATAGCCCTGGGCCTTGCTGGAGCTAGAGACGCGAAATTACCAAAAATTAAATTGGAAAAAAAAAAAAAGGAGGTAGAGCTCAAACTAAACAGTCGATAGGTGGGAGCCCTGATCTGGGCGCGGTTGGGCAATACCTGCGGTCCCGCAACTCCAGCACGGGTCCCCAAAAAGGGGAAACGCTTTAAGGCAGAGAATAACGGAGCAAACCAACCGGGGCGCAAACAATCCCGGCTGGAGCGAGGCAGCGCTGCGCCCCGGGGCTCGGCTTCCAGGCTGCAGCATGAGGATGCCGGACTAGAGCGGGTCCCCATATTCCACGCTGAAGCTTGGAGACCGATTTTTAAAAAAAAAAGGTGGGGGAACGGGAGGAAAGACCACCAGGAGGGAAAAGAGAGGGGCCGGTGGGACGCGAGAGGGAAGACCGCTGAAGCCGGGACAGGCTTGGCGGGTTTGCAGCCTCCCTGCTCCTCCTCTCACACCTGAGTCTCAGGGATCCGCCAAGACCCCGAGCCCAGGAGTTGGGGAGCACCAGTTAGGGCCGCTTCTCCCTCCACCCACCAATTTCTAGAGGCGCGGTGGGCAGGCAGCGCAGTAAGTGATGCTGAAGCGCACGGGAGAACAGTCCCGGCCGGGGTCCAGAAGGCAGGTGAGCGGATCTGGGGCGGAGCAGCAGGTGAGGTGACCCCAGATTGGGGTTCCCGGGGCGCTCGCGTCCCTGCAGGCGTGTCCCGCACGAACCAAACTTCATTCCTCCACCTTTGAGCAAGCAAGGAGAAAAAGGGGGTGCTTGCAAAAAAAAAAAAAAAAGGGAAAAAAGTTGCTGAACTTTTCCCCCCCATCTCTATCCTGGAGGCGGGAGCCGGGGGCGGCGCCCGACCCTGATTCGCCGCGCGCCCCAGTCTGGAGGCTCGGATTGGCGCGCGGGGTGCAGGGCCGGGGCGAGCGGGCGTGGGGGAGGGGAGCGCCCCTCCCCGCCCGCGGGAGCGCCTCGCGCAGGGAGCGGGTTAATTTCAAATCGGGGGCTTGGCTGCTCCCGGACGGCCACGCTCCCTCTGCCCACCCGCCGGCCCGCCGGTCCCGGCCCCGGGGTTCCCTCTGGCACCCACCTCGGCGCGGCTTAAGGACCCACCGCCCGCCCGACACGCGGGCTGCCCGGGCCTGAGCGGGGGAGAGGTGCCGAGGAGTTCCCGCTCAGCCCGGTCGACTCCAGCCGTGAGGTGAACTGACAGGTCAGCGGGACGCAGAGGGGCGCGGCGTCGGCCGGCCGGGCGCCCCGAGAGGGCTCGGGCAGGCAGGGGCAGCCGCGGCCGTTTCCCGCCTCTCGCTCCGCCGGGGGCCGTGGAGGGAGGAGCTGAGCTCCCGCGCTGAGGGGTGGGGGGCGGGCGAGGGGGAGGGGCCGGGAGGCCGAGGTTCCGGGCGCGGGTTTGCCCGCGCTCCAGCCCCGCGCTCCTGAGAGGCGGCGCCGGCCACGGTCCGGCTTTCCGCGCCAAATTTTTAAATCGAGGGCGGAAGGTCCGGACCCGCCTCCGGCGCCGCCGACCAATCACAGGCCCGGGCCGCGCTCGCTCATTGGCCGGGAGTCGTTGCCCTGGAGACCACAAGGATGCGGTCCGGGAACTGCCGGGCCGGCGGCGCGCGGACGGGGCCCGGGGGAGGGCGGCTGGCCCGGCGGAGGGGGAAGTGCGCGCAGCCTGAGCACCGCGGCGGCCCGGGGCTGGCTGCACCTGGGGCCTGGCGGGGCCGATGCAGCCGCGCCCGGTGGGATTCCACGTCGTGGCGGGAACCGGCAGCCCCAGTTGCAAATACACGGCGCTTTGCATCTTTAAAGGAAACTTTAGAAGTTTTAATCGAAAGGCGTTTTTTAAATGGACAGAGGACGTTTGGAGCTAATTTGGAATTAGGACGTTTGGACTGAATTTGGAAGTTTCCGATCAAGGTGTTTGCGCAGACTTTACTGCTGAGCCTATGCACGTGGGTGTCAGGGGAGACGTTCAGGCATCTAGATGCAGACTTTTATCCAGGTACTTGGGGGGTTTGAAGATTAGCCGCAACCTGGGCTGGGCGCTCACTCCTGTGAACAGGTGGGTGCCTGTGCTTGCGACCGTCCATTCGGTGGGGTCCTGGGAGGGACTCGCCTTGTTCGAGGGTGGGAAGGAGTTGTCACGGGAAATTCTGAGGGTTACAGATCGGTCTCGTGATCCATTGGCTGAAGGAATTTACTGGGGTTTGATGGATCTTCGCCCAAAAAGCGATCCCTGGTCGGGAATAAAATGTAAATGTAGTTTGTCCATTTTTGTGAGTCTTTGTTTCAAAGGCTTGTGTTGCTGAAGGGATTTTCAACGAATCTTCTGGTTGTGTTTTTCTTTAACTTTTTCTGTTTCCTTTTTTTCCTCCTAGGATACTAACCTCTTTCATAGAATTGATTGGACTACTTGAACCGTAGGCTCTTGGGAGGAACTTCAGATTTTTCATTTTCGAAGAAACTCTAAATGAATGAGAAATTTACAGAATGGAGACTGAAAAGGTACCTTTTTAACTTCAATAACTTCAAAACCTTCTCTTTTAACTTCAATATTTATCCGTGTAGTCTAAATGCAATATCATTCTGATTTAACACCATGATGTGTCAGCATTCAATAACTTCTTAATGCTTTTCCATGTAGAAAGGAGATTTTAATTTTTGAAGAGGGGGAGAATTGCCCAGAGTTAGGTAATCTTGCTAGTTTCTAATAGAAATTTCAAAAAGATAAGCCATGAGGAAGTTATTTTTAAAAACAATAAAATTTGTTAGTTGCATTATAGTATTTCTGAGAATTCTTGAGCAGTAGGAGTTGAGGCAGGGCATTCCACTTGATTTGAGACTGACTTTCTGTTTTAGATAGTTTTCTACCAAGTCAGTAACCTGTTTAACCTAAGGGGCTATGAAACCTTTATTTTTGAGATCAACATTTTGCAAAATTGCAAAAGACTTGTCAGCGAGGATGTCGTGATTGGAGTCCTGTCTACCAATATCTTAAAAAAAGTTGAAATATACAATTTTCCTAAAAGTTTTAGATATTTGGGGCCTCCCCTGGTGGCGCAGGCTATTGAGCGCCACGCTGTGAAGCTGTCTGCAGCCTCTGCAGCAATGGTTTGATCTGCTGGCCGGCTGGCCCGCAAGGGTCCCACATGGCGCGGCAGACCTCTCCTGTCTTACCCGCTGCTCCCCTCAGCAGTGTATTTCAGTCAGTCTGCCTGTTCTGTTCCCCACTCTGTCTCTGGTGAATCCTTTCACCCTCCCGCGCATCTGGCCTGTACCCCGGTTCTTGTATAAAATAAATAAATAAATCTTTTTAAAAAAATAAATAATTTTTAAAAAGTATTTTAGATATTTGTGAAATAAGAATTACTGCTGCTTCTGATAGTCTGAAGTAAAGGAATGCAGCCTTTAAAAAACTCCATTAAAAAAACTCCATTTTGATGTTGGCACCTCTCAGATACATATCCTTCCTAGGGTTCTCCATTGAATCCATCACATTGACTTCCATGTATGAGCACCATACTTGGATTGAGGACTTCCAGGTTCAAGTCCTGTATGACCTCTCAGCCTGGGTATCCTCTTTTGCAGAATAAGACTACAGAATTTAGTGAAAATACACATGGAAAGCACTTGATAAATTCTAAGAGGTCACAGACATATAAAACAGTGCCATTAATTTTTGTTCCTGAAGTTACTGAGGGATTAGTAAGTCTCTCTCTTCTTTTACTTATTGCTATTGTAAGCATTTTCTTTCAAATAGATATAGACTGAAAAATGTGTCAAGTCCCCTCTGTCCAAATGTAGATGAGACATAGTTTCTGTTAGTCTTATTTATTAACTTAATTTACCATCTAAAAGCTCACTGGCAGTCCTATAGCTGCCAGGAAGTAGCTTTGCGATCTTGAGTAACTAGTTTTGCTTCTCTGTGCCTCATTTTATTCATCTGTAAAGTAAAATATTCAAGGAACTGACTTTCCCTGTCAGAAATCCCGCTCTTAGGCACTCTGGACTTTGCTCCCTGCTGGATTTTGCCAAGTCTGACCACATATATATTAGCCCTCGCCCTTGTCTCCTTGGCTCACTGACTCTTCCGTGTCAATGGTATTTTATTGAACACCCACTGCATGTAACTATTGTACTAGGTAGGTACACAGATCACTGTGTCATGATTTTTGCCATGGAGACATTTGCTTAATATACAATATCATGAGCAAAAAGATGCTCTTAGGGATATGGATCACTTTAATTATCAGTCCTGTTAGGGGAAGCTGAATGGAAGGTTTATGGGAACTCTATACTATTCTTCAACTTTTCTTGAAATCCAAAATTATTTCAAAAAAAAGTTAAAAAACTTACAAGTCTTACTCTTTTTTTTAATTCTTGGAACATAAGGTAAATTTAGGTCTGTATTTTGTTGCAAAATTAAAAATGAGAAATTTAGCTCTTAAAATAGACAATAATAAAGTAGTGTCAAGTGATCGTTGGGATACAGTTACTGATTTAGCCAACTTTACAACGTTATCAGACATTAGCAATAATCTTTAGCAGTAGTCTATGCTAACTTCTTGTACAATTTCTAGAGTCAAAAGTTATCTAATAAATCTTTTTTTACAGTGGATTTAATTGTTTACTTGTTTTAAACCAGGAAAATCTCTTTTTTGAGCCTCATAAAGGGGACTAATGAAGACACCTCTGAAAGAATCCACTGCAGCCAATATAGTGTTGGCGGAGATCCAGCCTGACCTTGGCCCTTTAACCACCCCCACCAAGCCCAAGGAAATTGCCCAGGGAGAACCCTGGACACCAACAGCCAACCTGAAAATGCTCATCAGTGCCGTGAGCCCTGAGATCCGCAACAGAGATCAAAAAAGGGGGTTATTTGACAGCAGAAATGGATTAACTGAGCCTAAAGAGTGTTTGCACGTAGGTTTGCAGAGGACTGGGTGGAGAATGGGGGATTTGGGGACTTGATAGCTATCGCAGAAGTGCCAGCTATATAAAGCATGCCTCTATGTACTGTTATTAGTCCCCTTTGGTGCACGAAGGTTTGGATCCCATGAAATATGGATAGCACTGGAAATTCTGAATCTTTGATCTATTTTAATCTAGACTTCCCATTTAGATCTGCCAGGCAGTTTATACTGGCTCCCCACCTTTCCACACACACAAATTTTGCAGCTATTGAAGCTAAGCCCATAATGTAAGTGTTTGTCATCAAGTACAGATACCCCTAATAAATCTGTCAAAAGTATTTCAGAATAAGATATTATTTACCTTTTCCTTTGTAGGAACATTTATCTGGAGATGAATATGAGAAATCCCAACCAAGTCGAAAAAGAGAAAAGTTTAGGATTGTTGTGTCATAAAGTTCTTAGCCCGGTAATCCTAAGTATCCCAACCCTGCCGTGAATAATGACATCTGTCTTGACGAAGTAGCTGAGAACTTAGTAAGTAATGCAAAAGCTCACTGTAATGGCTAATAATTAAAACAACCATGCTTATCCAGCCAGGGTTTATAATGACACAAATAAGGCCCCCCCCAGCCCTATTATTTAAGAATTATGACATATAGTTTCCAATTTCAGTGACTCAGAACGCAGCGAACAATCTCAATGGAGATTGCTTCTGACTGCATTTCAAAAACTGACAAGCTTTATAGAAGGCAACATTGTTAGTAACTTGTTTTATGAACAGCCTACAAATTGAACTTCTTTCTTAGCTAAAGGTAGAGACAGTCTGCAGAATGACATCTTCCTAACTTCTGCTGGGATCAGCTTCT